ATTCCCGCTCCCGGCCACCGCAGCCTCGACCTGCTGGGCTCCGGCGATCCTTCTGCCTCAGCCTTCCGAGTAGCCGGAATGACAGGTGCGCGCTACTACACCCGGCTAATTTTTTGATTTACTGTAGAGATGAGGTCTCGCTGCACAGGTGGGTCTCGAACCCGTGGGCTCAGGCAATCCACTCACCTCAGTCTCCCAAAGGCGCGGGATTACAGGCTGAGCCACCAAGCCCAGCTTTAAGTTTTAAAAGAGTTTATTAGCAAGAAGAAAAAAAAGAAGATTCATGGCAGAAAGACCTGCCATAAGCAAGTTTCTTAAAAAAGAAAAGCCACCTCAAATAATCTTAACAACGTTAAAGATAACTTTGGGTGAGTATCATGCATAGCCTTTCACACTATCAGGATTAATTACATTTTCTCATTACTATTTTTGAGTTGGGGTCTCTGTTGCTCAGGCTGGAGTGCAGTGGCATGGTCACAGCTCACCATAGGCTTGAGCTCCAGGACACAGGCGATCCCTTCTCCTCAGCCTTCCAGGTAGCTGGAACTACAGGTGCACAGACAGCACGCCCAGCTAACTTATTTTTTGTCTTATAGAAGCAAGGTCTCGCTACGTTCCCCAGGCTGGTCTTGAACTGTTGAACTCAAGCAATTCTCCCATCTTGGCTTCCCAAGGTGCTGGGATTACAGGCATGAGTCACTATGCCCAGCCTTATTTTTTGGAGACAGGGTCTCACTCCGTTGCCCAGGCTGGAGTATATGGTGCCATCATAGCTCACTGCAGCCTCGAATTCCTGGGTTCAAGTGACTCGCCTGCCTTAGCCTCCTGAATAGCTGGGACTACTACAGGTGTGTACCACCATGCCCAGCTAAATTTTCTATTTTTTGTAGGTGTGGATGTGCTGCTCCCCAGGCTGGTCTCAACCTCCTGACCTCAGGCAATCATATCCCAAGGTGCTGAGATTACAGGCATGGGCCATGATGTCAGCCAACGACATTGTGTTACCTTCCTGCTCATGGCTATATGGTGATTTCAACGCCACTGCCATAAACTTACACGATTTGGTGTTCACCTTTTAACAATTTTAGTTAAGGAAGCAAGAACCTTGCTGTGACTTAGAAGTTTCTCCCTACCTATTTTACGTAATAGGTGCCAGGTAAGTATTGGTGGGTGACTTTTCATATCACTTCAAACAAGAAAGTAGCCTTTATGCAAGTCTATCTTTATTTGTAAAAAATAATATACAACTAAAGCTAATTTGATTTTTAAAATCAAAGTTCATTTAGTGATAATGTACATTTTATAATAAAATTGTAGTAAAATACTGACATTTGATAGTTTAAACAAAGTATCATTCATGTAAAAATCATGTTATAGCATGTAAAATTTAATTAGAAAATTCATAGTTCACAAAAGTACATATATTTTGTTGATAGCTTGAGAACATTATCATAAGTTTACTTAAGATACAGAACAAAATTCACAGTTAGGCTTGACATTTAGTACTATAAATTTTACACTGGATCCACTGATATTTTTGTTAATAAGGTGCACTTGAAATAACTGATTCAGACTACCAACAAACTGATATTTTATTGTATAACCAAGATCTGTTGGTTTTACAATATGTCTAGTAATCAATTATTTGATCAAATAATTTAAATAACAGAGATCTAAGCTGAATACACGATTAACATATACCCTTAACAGGATAAGTAAAATAAAAAGCACTAGCAGCTCTGATTTCCATTTCCGAGAATGCATACAAGATAAATCTGCATTTTACAGTTAAAGTTCGTACAAAAAGTCAAGCCCTGAAGTAGTTTTTCCCCCAAGAGAAAAGTTCAGATGTTAAAACTCTGTTAAAAGAGAGAGAGAGAGAGAGAGAGAGGTAGTGTGTGAAATATTTTTACTTAAAATGCTGAACCCCTGCACCACTGGTATTATAAATGAAATTTATCCTTCTACATACTAGCGTTATTTTGCCACTCAAGAGTCAAATGAGTAACTCACAGAATGTTAAAGCCAGGATGACACTGAAAAGCAGTGGTACAGAAATGCAAGGGCTTTGGTGAATTCAACACAAAGCCCGTGGTGCTACATGGTGTTGTGCAGTCAGTAACAGTTCACTGAGAATATGCTGAGTGGTAACGGGAACAAAATACATGAAAGTGTTCTGAGTCAAGGGATCTTCAATTCATCAAGACTTCATTATTTTACCATATAAAGAAAACATCCTTCAAAACGGAGTCATCTGAGTCTTCATAGCACGCAATTGTTAAAAAGGAATTCAGACTAGCCCTAACATAAAATTAATAAATAAATAACTCTCCATAAGCCACTGGGGACTTACGGACCCATAATGTCCTCAGTTTCTATATACAAGCATACCGTTGTGCTTGTGCACACTTATGATGAAGTCAGGCAAGGATGCAAGTTAGCAGCCGTACTCTTAACCTGCTCTAAGTGGAAAGGAGTAATAAATAGCCTCACACAATTAATAACGACGCCTGACCTGTCATAGGTGAATACTATGCATTTTTCATAAAGCGTAGGCAGTGTTTCTAGAACCCATGGAAGGAAAACCCAATTTTTTCTTTGTATAAAAAGTGCACGCTTGTCCTGTGTAAAAATCTCCTGGCCAGGCTCGGTGGCTCAGCTTGTAATCCCAGCGCTTTGGGAGGCCGAGGTGAGTGGATTGCCCGAGATGGCGGGTTCGAGACCCGCCTAGGCAACTTGGTGAGACCTTATCTCTACAATAAATCAAAAACTAGTCGGGCGTGGTAGCGCGCACCTGTAGTTCCAGCTACTTGGAAGGCTGAGGCGGAAGGATCACCGGAGCCCAGCAGGATGAGGTTGCGGTGGCCAGGAGCAGCCCTACACTCCGGTCTGGGTGACAGAGTGAGACTCCAACTCAAAAAAAAAAAAACAACTCTTAATTTGGGTGCATTTTTTTTATCCAAAATGATTCATACTTGAATACACTAAAAGAGTAGAAAAGCAACCAACAAAACACATAAACAACAAAGGGAACAACTTCAACGAACAAGGACAGAAGAGGCTGAAGGAGGAACCTTCCTGTCTTTCCAGAGTCAACAGAACAGCCTTTAGGACATAGATGATACCACATGGAATCAGTCTGCAAACGTGACAGCTATGGGATGGGCAAAGGACAGCTTCCACAACCCGCGCAGGAACCAGCTGTGAGGCTTGTAACAGGTGGGCAGCTCCTGAATGCAGCCAAGGGGTCTAGTGTCTTAGAAACTAGGAAAAAAATGCATTTGAGAAAATGTGCTACCATTAGTAAGACAGGAACAACAACAGCGAAAATTATATTAAATTAAATTAAATATGGGGAACACAGAACTGGGGTTCCCAATGTACCGAGAGACAGAATCAGACTTCTTCACATTAGAATTTTTAAAATACAGTTAAAGGAAAGATGAACCGGGCTCTGCACAGCAGGTTAAGTACACACCACTTCCAAGAGAAATGGCCTAGCCCCTCACACAGCGCCGAGAATGTGCTCTAACATCCAGCTGTCCAAGACAGAAACAGCAGCATACAACCCCACCAGCAAAGGCCCCTTTGTTTTAGACTTGAATTCACCTCTGACTCACCCAAGATCACGAACAGTGACCAAGCTACTCTTTTCTTAACACTCTAAGCCTGCAATCTCACTTTCTCAGGCCTATCCCACATCCCTGGTCCAGAGGTATACATGCTTTTAAGTAGCCAAACTAACAAGTCCCCACAGCATCCTCAGAAAACATTCTGCGGATGGTTTCACAACGTGATGATTGTTCCGTCTTCTTCCAAGAGCTTCTGCTCTGGGGCACACGTCTCCAAGTCTGTGCTGGTGCCGCTCGCTATGGGTGCCGAGCTCTCCTCGTTGGCTGGGAGGAAGCCATTCTGCCCAGGCTCGAAGCTGAGCTCTATCTGTGTGAGGGACTCCAGGCTCTCGGCGGGAGGGACGGCCTTCGGGATCTGCCGCGGCACGCCGTTGTCTTCGATGACAACGTCTTCCTCATCACTGTCTTCCTCCCCTGGCTCAAAGCCGGGCTCGGCCTGCTGCGGACAGCCCAGAAGGCTATTGTCCGTGGACTGGCCGGAGCTGCCGGAGGCCCGGCTGTTCCTCACGACGTTGTTCCTCTGGTTCGCGGGTCTCACCGTGACGATGAGGTTGCGGCTGTTGGCGATCATCATGTCCGTCACCTGGTCGAGACTCTTCCCTGAGACTTCGATGCCGTTCACTTCCAGGACCTCGTCGTTGACAGCCAGTAGCCCCGTGCTCTGAGCCAGACCTCCCGGCACGAGCCTGGATATGAAGACGCCCGGCACCTTCTCCAGGCCGTGCGGGGTCACCCTGACGCTAGAGCCGTCCCGGATGTAGAAGCCCAAGGGCTTCTCTGTGCCGTACTTGTAGAGCCGGACCCTGCGGTGCGTTTCTGGGAGGATGTCCACGTCTATGATGGAGGACACGGGCCTGAAGTCCTGGGGCATGCTGATGACTATGTGTGGCTTCTTCCTGTGGTTGTCAGGACGCAGCACGTTGGTCAGCACGTTCTTCTTCTTGATCAGCGTGTCTGTACCAAAGGCACTATAGTCGGCTTCTTCTGTTTAAAACAAGATAAAACAATTATGAAATGCTGTGCAAGCGCCCATTCACCTGTAGTTGAATCTGCACAGAAAGGACACTCAAGTACATCTGGTGCATGAACAACTTTAGCGAATTAGCTGATTCTGACCAGACCATCATGTGGTACAGTGAGAGGCTACGCCAGCAGAAGCCACTAGGTGGCCCTCGCAAATACATGTTGTAAAACTTCCAAATGTTCAAATTCATTAGCTGTGAACCATTCAATATGGTAGATGGAATTCTGACAGCTCTCACCAACACATTCTTTTTTTTTTTTTTTTTTTTTTTTTTGAGTTGGAGTCTCACTCTGTCACCCAGACTGGAGTGCAGTGGCCGCTCCCGGCCACCGCAGCCTCGACCTGCTGGGCTCCGGCGATCCTTCCACCTCAGCCTTCCGAGTGGCTGGAACTACAGGCGCGCGCTACCACGCCCAGCTAATTTTTGATTTATTGTAGAGATGAGGTCTCGCCGAGTTGCCCAGGCGGGTCTTGAACCTGCGGGCTCAGGCAACCCACTCACCTCAGCCTCCCAAGGCGCGGGATTACAGGTTGAGCCACCAAGCCCGGCAACACATTCTTAAATATCACTTTAAAGCAGCTACTTACAATATATTTTCCTTCATTAGTTTAAAAAAACTACAACTTTCATGTTTATCATATTCAGCTTAAAGACGTGAAACAGGACCCTTGATTCCCAAGGCAGATCAAGAGAGCCAAGTTACCACACACCTGATGCACTAGTGGCAGGCAGACAGGCAATGACCGTGGCGCAGTGCATACTGGACACAGGTTCACTGGTTTTCTGCAAGTAAGCCCTCTCTCCCTCAGTTTTCTGGGGCGTTAGCATTTCATTTTGAAAAGAGGCAAAGGATAAAATTTTTAAATTTTTTCTTCACTGTGTGAAAACCACCATTTTGTCTCAGTGGTGGTGACATACAGTAGGGACTCTGGCAAACTGGAGAGATCCCTCTTACTTGTTTGTTTTGAGTCAGTCTTAATCTGTCACCCAAGCTGGAGCGGCAAGATTATGACTCACCACAGCCTCTACCTCTTGGGCTCAGACAATCCTTTTACCTCAGCCTCCCAAGAAGCTGGGACTGCAGGCATGCACCTCCTGTGCCCAGTTAATTTTTTTATTTTTGTAGAGACAGGGTCTTGCTCTGTACCCCAAACGGGTCTTGAACTCCTAGGCTCAGGAGTGTCCTCCCTCCTTGGCCTCTCAGAGTGTTGGGACTGCAGGCGTGGGCCATTGTCCCGCCTCCTGCCTCGCCTCATTTAAATGGCCATAGCTGCAGGCAGATGTTTTTCATGTCAGATTTTGTTTTTAGAAAAAAATTATCCTGTTTTTTAAATGCTTCCACCTAATTAAACAACAACAAAAACCTGTTTGGGCCAAATCTGAGGGTGGAGGAATGCATTTCTAAAACTACCAATTTCTAATCTGATATAAACTAAGGGAAAACCGAACACCTAACACCAGCTATGTTACACTATATGGCTAGGAAGACAGTCTACACTCAAACATCTCATCAGAGAATGAGAGGCTAAAAAAGAAAAAGTTGAAATCGCAACAGGAACAAAAGTTGAAATCGAATCTTCAAAAATAACTGGAATGAGGATAAGCTAAAAATTCAATTTCCAAGGATAAAAACAAATCACAATAAGAATAAAATAAACAAAAGGCCTCCCCCTCTGCAAAGGAAACAGTTTGAGATTCTGGTCTGAGCTGCGGCTGCAGGGACACTGACACATCTCCCTGCCTCTGTGCTGGGCGTGGTGATCTTCCCTGGCTCCAACCTAAGCCTATCAGTCAGGTTTCACCTTCGTTTTACAGACCAGGAGGCAAAGGGCACAGCATGAGTTGCAGAGAAAGAGCTGAGCCAGGTCTCCTTCCCAGGCCTGCAGCCTCCAAGATCACATAACGAATGCCAAGTGGCAACTGTGCATCAGAGTGGGGAGCTGGAGAATTCTTCTCTGAGGCTGTATGAACACTCTTCACAACCTCCTTTCAGATAAACATACTAGGTGAAGGGTGCCTTTTTTTTTTGGTGACATTTTCTCCCCCAGGGACACTACTATCTTCATTTATAAAGAGTTTACGGGGTGGGCTCCATGGCTCAGCCTGTAATCCCAGTACTTTGGGAGGCAGAGGCAAGTGGATTGCCTGAGCCCGCAGGCCCCAGGTTCAAGACCAGCCCGGGAAACTTGGCAAGACCTCGTCTCTACAATAAAATAAAAAATAGCCGGGCATGGTAGTGCACGTCTGTAGTTCCAGCTACTTGGAAGGCTGAGGCGGAAGAATCACTGGAGCCCAGCAAGTCAATGCTGGGGTGGCCATGAGCATGCCACTGCACTCTAGTCTGGGCGAAGGAGTGAGAGACTCCAACTCAAAAAAGTGTTTACACTGGGTTCTTACAGAGACAGAAATGCGTTTATAATATGGCTTTGGAAATAAATCCATTGATATAAGAATCCTTTTGGCAAAATTTAGCCAAAAACCTATCAAGAGCTTCTACTAATGTGTTTTCTTAAAAAAAAAAAAAAGAAATATATATATATACATATACATATATATACAGCTTTAAAATGGTCAACAATGAAAGCCTACATAACATTCCTAAGGAAAATTCCTGACCATACAAACTGAGAACAAAATCTAGTTGCCTATATACCTACTCATGGGAAACCTGACCAAAAACCCCAAATCTGCATAATTTGGCATCCCATCCAGACTTCGTTTGAATGCTCTCTGCTAATTCCCAAAAGCAATATGCCCTAGTACAAAGGCACCTTTGTTCACCCATCTAGCTAATCAGTTTCCAGCCACTGGGAAAGGACATATTTTGGCAGGCAGCCAGGGCACAGGGCATCAGAGTGTAAAGGTGAGTGTCCACAGTGTGGAGCGACTTTCTACCTGGGCATGTCCGTCCGAGCACTGACCCCAGCGCCAGGCGGACGGTTGGAAGTCTGACTCCCGGCAACCTTCTCTGCATCCACTCAGAGCCACACACCAGCACAGGATGTGGCGGGTACAGCAGAGCCTCTTGGTCCCATGCTGGCCTGCAGCCAGCGGTCTCTGCTCACAGACAGGCAAGGACCCACCCGAAAGCCTCTTAACAGGCAGGTGGGGGCATTTTACTCTGTTACAGGCAAAAAGCACCTGCACCCTATGCAGGAGCCCCGCAGGCCTTCCTCAGACTGCTTACTCTAAAACATTCAGAGAAGCCTCGTGATCTCATTCCTCAGCTCACGGAGGGGCACAGGTCACACAGAGCAAGGGGTAAGGATTCGCTCGGGAGCGGCCAGCACAGTTTAAGAAAAAAGCCCACAGCAAGTACAAGGCAAACCAGAAAGCACAAAACTCTGCACCAGCTCCACTGCGTCCCCACACACTACAAGGCACGACAGTGATGGGCATCTCCAAGACAGCCCGAGAAGACGCCCAGCTGCCATTCAGAGGTAGACAAGAAGAAGGCCAGAAGGCTGAAAGTATTGGGCCTGAGCGCCAGACAGTGCCTGTTTTAGGGGCCACAGCCACCCAGGCCCTCCTGCAAAGCTGCACAGGCGATACACAAGGGAATGAATGGGCCTGGCTGGGCTCCAGGAAGCTTTATTTACAAAACAGTCAGAGGCCTTCACTTGCCAGCCCCTGTACTAGATCACAATGGTTAAATGAAATAGACCTGGCAACTTTAAAAGGATTAGGCAAACTCAATATTCAAATTTCAGACCTCTCCATTTCCCAGCATGGAAAAAGCAATCATCAAATATTGAATAAACATCCACAATGTGCCAGGCATTGAGCTCTGTGGTGCAGATCCAGTGAATAAAACGGTTGAGAGTCCAAAAGGGGACGCAACTGGCCGGTGATTCCACAGAATGCAATTCAGGGATGACAGTGCAGAGGGTTGTGAGCACATCTCGTGGGGGAGTGGGGGGCTGCACGGCTTGCAGGCGAGGGCAAGGCTGCCCCGGAAGAGAGGTTTCTGCTGAGACTGGAAAAGCAGCCTGAGGCTGATCAGGTGGGGGGGAGGAAGCGGCTTCCAGGCACAGGAAGCAACAGCACACAGTGGGGGCGGGCCAGGCAGGCGAAGTCCAACACAGGAGTTGGGGGCAAGAGGGTGGGGGAGGGCGGAACTGGAGCCAAGTCAGAGGCAGGCGGGGCCAACCAGACAGGGCCTAGGGAAGGGCCAGGGTATGTGGACTCTGGCCTGAGGGCACCGGGAGGAAGAGCGTGGACTTGAGGATTAGGGTGACAGTGCTCTCCATTGGTTTCCTATAGAGCACACGGGCTGTGGGCTAGCGGGAGGACAGGAGGTGCCTCGGGAAATAGGGGCACCTGGCCTGGGGCAGAGGCAGGGAGATGGGAAAACACATGAAAACTAATCGGAACACAGTTCTAACAGGCCTGGTGACTGACAAAAAACAGGCTTCTGTCACAAGCAACTGGTATCATATTCTGAGATGTTACTCCACAATTTCTTATTTCTGGGGCAATACCTTTTGTTAAGTTATAACTTACAGCTTACTACTAAATTGCATATTTCTTGGACAATTTAAAATTACACCCTGATTCGTTAAAACGTCACCCTGAAATGTATCTGTAAAATAATGTCCAATGCATAGTCAAGGTCTAAGATACGAAGTAGTGGCCCAGTTGCAGGTATCTGGGCCCCACGGCTGTGTCTGTGTGAAGGCATGTCCTAAGTGAGACCATATTTAAAGCAAGGCCCCAGGCTGTTCAGTGGCTCACGCCTATAATCCCAGCGCTTTGGAAGGGTGAGGTGAGAGGAATGCTCGAGCCCACGGGTTTGTGATCAGCCTGGACAACATGGAGAGACCTCATGTCTACAATAAATCAAAAAATTAGCCAGGCATGGTAGCACATGCCTGTAGTTAGAGCTACTTGGAAGGCTGAGGCGGAAGGATCACCTCAACCCAGCAGGTGGAAACTGCGATGGCTGTTGAGTGTGCCACC